ACTAACAATCAGAACAAGGATTGTACAAAGTATGAATACAGGAAAATTGGAAACTGTCAAAAATGAAATAGAGCACATACGGATCAATATCATAGGCTTTAGTGGGCTAATTTTGGCAATTTTGAATAGGACAATCAGACATCTTACTATGCCAGAAACATCAAATTAAAGAGGAATGGCATCACATTCATCATCAAAAAGAATATTTCAAGATTTATCTTGAAATATAATGCTGCTGATAAAAGGATAATATCCATATGCCTACAAGGAAGACCAATTAACACTATTACTCAGATTTACACATCCAACTACTAAAGCCAATGATGAAGAAATTAAAGAATTCTATCAGCTTCTTCAGTCTGAAATTGATCAAACATGCAAATAAGATGTACTGATAATTACTAGTGATTGGAATACCAAAGTTGGAAACAAAAAGGGAGAATCAGTAACTGGCAAATATGGCCTTTGTGATAGAAATTAATTCTATGATAAAATTTCAAAAGATCAATAACTTATTTAAAGCAAATACCTTTTTAAACAACACAGGTACTACACCAAATGGAATAAACAGGAATCAAACTGACTGTATCTGTGGGAAGAGATGGCGGAAGAGCTCCATATCAGCCAAAAGGTCAGGGGCAGACTACGGAATGAATAGACCATCAATCACTCATATGCAAATGCAAGCTGAAGCTGAAGAAAATTAAAACAAGTCCATGAGAGTCTACATATGACCTTGAATATATCCAACCTGAATTTAGAGACCATCTCAAGAACAGATTTGGTGCATTAGACACTAATAACTGAAGACCAGAATAATTGTGGGATGACATCAAGGACATCATTCAGGAAGAAAACAACAGATTATGTAAATAGATGAAAAAGACAGAAAAAACAAAAATGGATGTCAGAAGAGGCTCTGAAACTTGCTTTTGAGAGTAGAGAAATTTAAGTGAATGGATGAAATGAGGAAGGAAGTAAAATGGCTAAACAGGAAATTTCAAATGGCAGCTTACAAATACAAAATATTTGAAATGTGCAAAGACCTGGGATTAGAAAAACAAAAGGGAAGAAAATATTCAGCATTTCTCAAACTGAAAGTACTGAAAAAAATTTCAAGCCTTGGGTTTTGGTATTGGTGTGGCAGGTACTC